TACACTTGTTATTTTGAAATTATGCTGGCAGTGGCGTGGGCGTAGGAGGAGCGCGCTCTGCAGTGAAAAGTAAAATAAAATACATAAATAAAACCTTTATGCGCCATTCTACCTCCCCATTTGGTAGCAGTTATGAGCTGACAAATTAAATTATATGCACTGCATTACAACTTAAAAGTGTATTCACTTCAACTTTGAAAACGCCTCGTCGAGCAGGGCAGCGCTTGCTGGTGGAACGGGATGAATATTCTTTGAGTGTCATATCGTGGGGAAAACGATTTGTTCTGTGGATTTCAGCTATAATTTTTAAGTAAATTTTTTAAATATACATGTTTATGGAGTTACTCCGTGGTGGTGCTACATCCTGTTTATAAAAACTGTTGTGAAAGTGAATGCTACAGGTATACCGATGATTTGAGAAATATATCAGCTATTTTAAAGGTGTGTGAATGAACGGTCTTCACTATTCAATGAACAGAACTGGAATTATAAACCTGAATTTGACCACGAAGAGTAGGTACACCCATGTTGGAATTAAATTACGACCCAAAATAACGAGATCGGTTTACTTACTTAAGTGCTGGTATAGCTTAGTATTTGGATCCGGTAGATGGCGCTGAGCTTCATAGGTATGTTAAAGTTGTATTTGCCATTCGAACCAGTTCATAGTTAGAATGCATATTTATTAGACTGACAGCTATATGAACTTAAATCGTAAAAGTGACACTAAACTGAAGTATAATTTTTAGATGAATTATAGGTGGTTTAAAATAAGTGAAATTATTCTTGAATTAAGTGAAACACTTTTGAAACCAAAAAAAAACAAAAAGGATAATGTGAAAGCGAGCAAAAGCTTTTGATTGTTCAAACATAAAGCAAACTACTTAAGCTGGATTGCCACATCAGGCATTTCAAGCCTTTCAGCACTTATTCAGCTTAATAAAGCGCTGAATACCTAGTAGTATTTGTTAATATGGAGTTGGACTATTAGATTGTATGAAATCTGAGCTGAAGATTAGATCATATATGCAAAAATGATGTTTGATGCCTTACGTCTCATGCTGAATTTCGTGCACTTGTTAAGACAATTATTATTTTTATACCCTAAACTGGATATATTAAGTTAGCCACGATGTTTTTAACACAAGGCAACGTCAAAAACCCTCTAAAGTATATATAGAAATGAGCAACACGACGAGCTTTGTCGATTTAGCCATGTCCGTCTGTCCATTCGTCTGTCCGTCTGTATATAAACGAACTAGTCCCTAATTTTTTGAGATATCGATCTGCAATTTTGCACCCGTATTTTGTCACCAAGTATCTCATATAGCTGCCATACGAACTCAACGATCAAAATTATGTGCTTGTTTGGAAAACCTCTTTATTTTATGAGATATTTTGACGAAATTTTGCATGAGTTATGTCCAAGGCAATCGGAAAATCTTCGAAGAAATTGTTCAGATCGAGTCACTGTAGCATATAGCTGCCATACCAATTGACCGATCAAAGTTCTTGTAAGGAATCATTTGTATATGTGAAGCGTATTATAGCTTTTTGATAATTTGAATAAATATATAAATTATTTTATTGATGTAAGCTGAAGTCAGATTTAATTAGGTAAAAACTTAGTATTTAGTACCTCATTGTGCCTGCTATAAGTTAATGAAACATTATTTCAGCTGTTCTCAAACGACTTCATTGAATTCTCATAATTATTCTATATTAGTACTCAAATTTGAGAGGAATGATGATGCCCAATTGGAGAGGCGGTACTTTTACTCACACGCATACAATTACCTTTACTATATTTACAAATATATATTATATATAAAATCGAGCCCAAACCCTTTCATGTGCTAAACCTAAAAGCCAACTTTATAATCACTCAACTGTAGCCCAATCATTAGTAACGCAAATCATCTTAATGGCAGCCTTAGTCGCATAACGTAATTGTAAATTCACTTTCAACATTTTTTGTCAACCGGAACCGCACTACAAAGCGTTAAACAAAACAACAACAAAATAAGTTGTTTAATATGCTGCTAATACAGTGATTCGGAGAAATCGATAATTACAACACAGACAACTTATTCAATAACCCTTGGTATTTGAGGAACTAAGCTCAGTGCACTAACTCATACATATGCATGTACAATAGGGTGTCCATTATTTTCAAGTTGATTTTTGAAAATGTCCCTCACACAAAACTTCCCGCTCTACAAAAAAGGCATTCATAATTTATTTTTCATAAAACATTCCTTTAAGTTATACGCAGTTAAAGTTATGCATCAAATGTACCATACTGTATTTACACCGTGCACCATGTCGTATGAGCAATACATAATTATATTGTTTAAATCACTTGTATGAATTCTCAGTACATTTGAAGCAGAACTTTTAAAAGAATGTCTTTTTGACAAAAATTAATAAAGACCTATTTTGTAACAAATTTCGTATTAAAATATGACTTTGTGAAAGTTTACTTTCTTAACGCAAAACATCAACAAATTTCGCGTTATATACAAGGGATCCTTGTTTTTAAGGAAAAAACTGAAACTTTTTGCGACGGTTGCAAAAAGACAATCAACTTTGGAAATAGCGGACACCCTAATGTATAACTACACATACATACAAAAAGAGAGAGAGCAAATATTCATATTCATAGCGAAGGCAATAAGCAGCTGTGTGCTGTTGTGCGAAACGCGACTTTTAATTAAATTCCTTCTCGGAATAATATGCGAAAGGATTAGCGGGCAGGATTGTAGGAAATATCAAAAGCTCCACCTTTTCAATGAAATATTGCCTTTGTTATTATATGAACAGCAACCAATATGGTTTCAAAGTGCTTTAAGATAATTCTGAGAACGCATAATTTGTCGAATTAAATTTGTTGACATTCTCTGGCTTGATGCTTTAGCGTTAATGATTTAAGGACAATTTAAAAATATTTTACTGCTTGCTTTGGAAATTTTAAATCAAATATATATTTTTCTGCAGAAAATGGTTGATGTTTTCTCTAAAGAGTTTCTTATTGCTCATTTCGCACATTTGGTCACGTTCAAATCTTATTCTTATTACTCATTATTATCGTCAATTGTACTTGCAATTAAATGAATGTCTAGGATGCAAATAATTATAGTTACTAAAAGACTTCATCATTCGTCGCAAGTTCTTAGGAGAGTGATATTTCTATAGAATATATTCACTATAAAATAAAAATTTTGTGTCCTAATCCACATATTTTTGTAACCCAAATACCGTTGTATTTGTACTTTTTCTCCATCATGATTATTTTCAAATACTATTTGCCGGTGATCTTTTAACCTGCTAAAAGTAAATACTTTTTCGACAATGATTATAAAAGTAGTAAATGTTTATTGTTGAGAATATCTCAAAAAAAAAGCAGCTTGATCTGGTCTTTGTAATTTCCCCACATTTTTATATTATTTTAGTTGATCATGGGAAACTCTTTTAGAAAGTGGTCAGATGGCTGAATTTATAGTCCATAATGATCAATTCAAACCAGCATATGTATATAAAATAGACAACTTTTATCAAGGTTCAACCCCTTAATTACCACACTGCCCTTGAAAAATGATAGTCGTCTTCGATTGGCCACTTTTCCTATCGCTTGACCACTGCTCTCTTGTCAAAAAGCTTATATATGAATGTACTAACAAATTTGAGAACATAAAAGTGGTATATTCACTAGATTTATGGCTGCTGTTTGGTCGATTTGCCACCTACTCAGGTCTTGGAGAAAAACTTACTTTTTCAAAGGCCTCTAAGTGAAAGTTAACGGTCAACATATAACTATAGCTCTGGGCTACGACTTCGGTTAATCCGATTATTGTAGCTACTGGCTTTTTGTGCTTTCTACATAATCATTTGTAGAAAACTCATTTAATCGTTGTTTTTACCCACAGAACTGTGATAAATAATGAGTTGGAGTTTACATAAATAGATGACTGTCTTGTTTGCCCTGTTTTACACATATAAGTAGGAAAGGATAGTCGTCCAAACTTTTATGATATTATAGTTGAAACAAGAAAAGGAGGAGACCATTAAACATCTTCTATGCGATTATATGGCTCTCTATAGGAAAAGAATCGCAATCAGCAGTCGAGGGTTTCTTGACGACGTCTCGGAGGTTGCACGGATAAAACTTTTCCTACTGATGAAGTTAATCAGAAGTACGGGGTGGTTCAGGGAGGAGACAATAGAGTGTGGGAACTTTGGTCCCGGTGGTATCACAATGGGCCCCCTCAAGGCCTAGATGTGTCGAAAGACAGGTACTCTACCTACGTACCTACCTAGTTGAAGCAACTACCAAATTCAATAATTTACATTTCTCGAGAATATCTATGAATATATTGTATATTGCTGATAATTTAAAAAATTCTCTACACTACTATTTTATATGGTGTAATTTTACTGAACATAGGACAATTATTAAAAAATATGGTAAAAGAGCTTTGTTTTTTTTTTTGATTTACGGATAATTGGCAATACTCAACGTTTTCTTTAACCTCGAAACTGAAATTGATACTTTCAGAAATTAGTGATGTATGATGTTATTGAGTGTACATGCATGAAATTATTTTGTGAAAATATGATGACAGCGCCACCTATTACAGCAAATATGAATTTGGGCAACTATGAAATTGTTTTAACCATGCAAATCTCCGCTTTTTGGTAAATTTAAATTAAGACTTAAACCATTTCTAAATCAAATTGTCAACGTTCTATGAATGTCAAGTGCCTAGAATCGATAAATATGCACATTCAAAGCGCAATTTAATTACAGCACACCCTTAACTGGCTCTAGAATTTGAAAATACTGTTATACCAGAAGAACGTACCAGCATCCATTTGGTTAATTTCTACGATATTTTTGTATTTCTTTCCATTCCCCTACTTGCTTATTCAATGCTTGATTGCTGCGCTATGTTTACTTAACCATTCTCACTTTTTTCTTATTATTCTTCGATTTCTTACAGGCCGAGATCTGGAGTGTGTTCATTGCTATTCTACGCAAAAGTGTGCGCAATTTGCAGGCATGCACGGACGTCGGTCTAATCGAGCACGTATTGGTGCGACTGCAGCGCTCCGAAACGGTTGTGGCAGGTATGTATACAACAACAACAATAAGTAAATTTAAGGCGAGCAGTTCTTTGCTGCCAGAGTAGTACGAAAGTACGAGTATGTTAATGCTTTTATGCCAATATGGTTTTAAATCTTTAGCATGTGTAAAAATAATTTTAATTAATATAAGTAAGGAGATTTAAATCCGTGCGGAATTGAATATTCGTATAAAAATTGATGATTCGGAAACAAATGTAAAAACTGAAATATTTTTGTTGAGGAAATCGTTTCTCTATCGCTTTTCCCTCAAATTGTAAAATTACCGTTATACGAAAAGTGGGCGTAATTTTTGTTAGTATTTCTATTTGTTAATTGCATTTATATTTTAAGCTGTATGGTATATAAGAGTCTGGCGGATATTTTGCAAAGTTTTGTTTTGTCAGACATTCCCACGGGACACCTTGCCTCTCTTTAGTTGATTTCAGTTAAGATAGACCTTTAAATAAGTCGTTTGACTCACTCTCAGCCTACTCTGGATCGCAGTCACAAAGATACCTTTATTTATATACCAACCACGATAAAACTTCCACGAGGCCTTGGCTTACTTTTACTATGCCTTAAGAAACTACTCCACCACTGGTTTGGTTTCACTCAGCTTTATCAATGTGGTATTAGTATTCACACATATGGCATGTACAGAGCTCCTGGGCTCCCCGAAAATCGAATAAAACCGAAAGGCAACAGCAACTAGGCAACACTTCTTTGCTTTCAATCATTTCAAACGATTCCGATTCAATTCACGTCTTTACTTTTTCATTTGCGTGCGTGTATGTGCTCTGCCACAGACTCTCCTCGTGTTTTTTGTAAGTGTTTTACCCACTCACGGCTGAATTTGTCCAATGCCTACGGCAGCTTTAATGCAGTTTTTGCCTTGTCACATCAGTTTTGTCAACGACGCTTGGTTCGTCGTCGTCGCGTCCGTCTACTCAGTGCTGGTTGCCTTGGCGTCGTCAGTATGCGTCAGTTGTCGTGGCTTTGTTTGCTCTTTGGACTTTGGTACGTGTGCTTTCACTAGGCGCTCCTGCTTACAACTTGTTTGTTTTGGTGTTACATGTGCCAGCACACACTCATACGTGATATGAATGGTATGTATGTATGGGTGTGCTGAAGTTGAATACCATTCTGCAGATCGATTTGTGTGCCGCTGGTGGCCTGGGTGTGACCATATCCTTCAGCTAGCATTTGTTTGTTTGCACAGTGATTGAAATAGGAGAATAAGATTATTGAATTAGAAGTAAGAGATTCACATTTTGAAAGAGAGTAAGTGCTGGCAAGTAGGGCGTAGTAACAAATACTTGTTGTATTAAAGCAAATATGATTGCAAAATAGCGGAGGTGATGGTAGATCTATTCATGGACATGAAAATGAATAACTTTTGTGCCAACTCAGTGGATATTCCATTCAATGCTTGTCTACTTCAATATGTTTTATCAGCTGTTTTGCTGCTATGTGGCTCCACATTTACAATATTCAAGCCCATAACCACATCACTAGTGTATGCAGGATGGCCCTTACAATGGATTATCCTTATTACGTAAACAACAGATTTAAAAAAATATTTATAATTTTTTAACTATACGAAAAAATTAAATACTAGTTCACCCACAACAGAAAAGAAAACAGTTTCTTAAAACTTCAATGACAATTTACGGCTTCATCTCACAAACAACTTTCTCAATATCCGCTTTAAGCGGTTATGTACAATTGCTAGTCAGAAAAACGGAATTTTTGTGGAAAACACGTTTAAAGTTTTGGGATTCCGTTACACTAACTTAAAAATATCTTACGCTCATATCTCCGACACTATTTGCCAGATTATCAAAATCAAATTTTCGGAGAATATTCTTAAGTTTATGTACATAGGATGTAGGTATATGCAAAAAAAATTGATTTTTTGAAATTTACAAGTCAACATAACTCCTTAAGGAATTGTTCACAAAACATGGGTACCGCATATCAATCCAACAAAAAAATTATGTACCGTATGTGGTTACGTTTACTAAGCTTAGCGGGACAAACCATTTCTCACTTCGAATGCATTGGCTTCGATTGATGATTCCGATGATTAAGGTTTTCCACCGAAATCAAAACGATTTCCCTAAGAAAGATTATATGCATTAAATCCACACTGAGAAACAATAATGAAGTGCGTAGTCATGATGGTAAATATTTCAACAGAACCAGATTCAAAATAGTTACTGAATACTGTGGTGAAGTTGTTTTTATTTTTTCATTTTACAACAACAATACTGTTTAATATTAATCAATAATTAATCTTTAACATATAATAATTTCTGTCTTTCAAGTATTCGAATTCTTCAAATTATTTATCGATCCTGCCAAATTGATATATTTTAAAATAAAGAATATTTCCAAGATACTACTTTAGAGTATGGTATTTATAGTCAGCTCCACCTGCTCACACAACAGTAACCACAAGCAACATCGATATACATAGGTATAACTACTCACATTTCATATATTTATATTATAAATAAAAATCTGAGCAAATGGAAGAGTTCCTCGCACACACAAATTCCTGTGTCGCACCACCAATGCTAACGAAGACATTTTTAGTGCGCTCATTTTCGTTGCTGCGAACACGTTAGCAATTAATTCAATGCTTAAATCTGAGACTAAAGGTGTGGATGGCTGTCGGAGCGAGTGGGCGAGATACAAAGAAAGGCGCAAGCGAGAAGCTGATTTCAAGCAAAAAGAAAACATATATATTTCTATATATATATATCTAATTAGATATATCTACATAAAGGAGTCTCCGAATGTGTGCGCGTGTGTAACTAAAGCTGTCGCAGCGCATTAAAGCGCATATGTTAAGTTACAAGCGAGAATGCGTGTCGCATTCCTTGCTCGTGACGTATATTAGATTAGACACTCCCACACAAGAAACCAAAGATATTCTTGTATTTAATATACATATGTATATGTATAAATTCTTACTTAAATACTACCACACGAAACCAACAAATCTGCGATAATTTTGTAATTGATTAAAGTGGTCGTTAGTTAGTGTGTAGTAAGGTGCGGGTGGCTGAAGCCAATATTGCGGAGAAATCTCAGTATCTATACACACTATATCCAAGATTGTATGTGGCTAATGAACTCCCTAAAATATGCTACGCCTCTTTCGTATGCTGTCACATAAGGTGTTAACCGAAAGTTGCCTATTATGGGGCATGCCAAGGTATGCGAAGCCGATAAAATCACATGCTGTTGGTATTCCTGTTTGGAGTGGTAATTAATTTAGTATTTTTAGTGCATACTTTGTGGCGTTAAAGCTAGCTTTATTGCATTATTGTAAGACATTTGAATGTGATTCATTATTGCTAATACGAAAAACATTTGTTTGGGTGCTAATAGCTTGTTGGTAACTCTAATTTGCTAGAAAAAAAAAAACAAAAAAAAACATATGTATTGTCAAAATGACAAGATATAAAATGATAGGCGCTTCTTTGCATTGAATTCAAGCTCTACTTGATTCGCTGAGTGTGAGATCTTTTTTCAACCGAAAATTGGTTAAGTGTTGCTGTGGACTAATTACTATTTCTTTTCTGTATTTTTGGTCAGAATCTGTCGTTTTCAGAATATAAGCAATTGCTCAGATTCCGTCCGTCTAGAATAGATCAATTCATTTAAAAGGCACACCTAGTGTGAGAACGTAAAGCAGACAATTTAGTAAGTTAAAAAAAAAAAAATTATAAAAAAAATACTGCATCACTTGCTTTAAAAATTTAAGGGAATTTTTTTACATATTTTAAGAATACACACAGAAATGAAAAGAAAAGAAAAAAATTGAATAATTTTCGAGTTATACGCGATGAAACCTTGAAAATTATCTACTAGATGATATTGTTTGTACAAAAACCTACAGTGGGTAAACAATAGCAATTAACGAAATGGCTGCGTTTTAAAAAATAGTTTACATTACCCAAAATGTTGGTCGGTTGTGAACTGCCAAAATTTAGTTTTGTGATCCAATCAAAAAACTGAGGTCATTGCACGGAGAACAACTTTATACAGAACATGCAGAATGAAATTGATAGCATTGAAGCAAATTCGAAAAAATGTAGTTTTGAGAAAAACTCGTTTAAAAGTAAACTGATGAAGCGCGGTAACTCCAAAACTATTCGAGATATCGATTTAAAACTGTAGTATGCTATTTTTAAATGTATAACCTATCGAAATATAAAAGATCGACTTTTTTGTAAATTTTAATATAGCTGTGCTTGTTAAATAATTAATTATGTCGACATAAGTCTATATAGCTTATTTTTGTTCCACTTGTATATATTATATATTTCATATATTAAGTTGAATTACTTCAGATAATTTACTATCTTTCTGTAACCTGGAAGTATGTTCTACTACGACAGAACTTACTATATTTCACAAAATGAAAAATATTGTTTATAACGTCATGCTTATTTTATAGCAAAAGTTAACTTCTGCCTTTAATTTTTACTTCTAACAAAGTTTGTGGCCAGATATAACCTCAAGATTTTTGGCATCGGAACTTATAGCTAAAGTAAATATGTATATATCATTTTTCGATTAGCTTCCGTAATTTACTTGAGTATTCTCACATTTTTACATAAAAATACAAATTTTTGAATTATTTGTTTACTTCTTTGTTGTTCATAGATTTTTTGCCGACAGTAGACAGAAGCAGTTATAATTAATGTGTCTCTAAATTGTAGACATTTTTTGTAGTTACTTTTAAAGTTTCAATGCTCAATTTGCCTATCTATATCAATTTATGTATGCTTCTAATTATATATAATACTTATCAATTCTACAGGCTCAAATTAAAAATTATATGCTCGTGCTTGCGACAATAGGCATTCAGGCGTGCTAATTGCGTAAATTAATGACATCCATACTTGCCTCAAGGGTGACACAGTCACCAAACTGCCACGGAATTGACAAACTGTAACAAATTAGCATAATCTTGTATAGCAAGCAAGCATTGTTGCTACACGTACCCCGTACAACGGTGAATATGAGCTACAAACACCTCATTTACATTTATATGTGTGGATAACAGTGTTTCTATGTAAAGAAATATACATGTATTTGAAACACACATGTCACCAGTCGAGGAAATCATGTGTCTAGAATGTCTAAATTTCCGCATATCAATTTTTTTTTTGCTTTCCATGCACATCCTTTGTGTCTAACATCCTAAGAGTCTCTGAGTATACATAATTTTTCACGCCTTTATGGCTGGGAGCCACCTCAGCAGTTAATTACACTTCTGTTCTTTGGCGCTGATTTTGTGTACAAATGATGCGGATGCGGTGACACACGACACCACTCCGCTGCACCCTTGATGTCGCTGTCAAAGTTCAACTGTTCGAGTGGTAAGCGTCACAAAACGCTTGTGTGACTCCTTTATCTCTATCTTTGGCATTGCTTTGATTTTGCTTTTGCACTCACTCAACCTTTGGTTGCGTCAAATTGGTTGATTTCACACGTTTGATGTGCGACAAACTTGGCTTTGCAGTTCATGTCACGTATACGCCCCGGTCGCTCGGGTTGCCCACTGCGGGCGCACGTGTGTCTGCAGCGTCTGTCGTGCCCGGCACATTTGCCGATTGCGACAGTTGCAACGCTATAAACTGACTTGATGCTCTCACTTGACATTGTCTCCTTTGCCTTCCTCCCCTTAGGTAGCAGGCAGCAGGCAGTTGGCGCCAACACATTTTGCTATTAAATTAAGTTGTCGGAGTTGGTGTCATGCACAAACGGTTTGGCTTTATGAAAGCTTACATGTCATTGACTTGACAATAACCTCAACCCATAATGGAGCGTTTAACCGGAAGTCTTGCTTTGGTTTGGATGCGGCAATTAAATAAAACTACTTCTAATGTATTGATGCCACTTTGTATAGCGTATAGTGCTCCATTACTTTGTTAAAGAATGTTTTGAAGGCAATTGAAGAGAAGCTGTTCTTTAAAGTATAATTCTACCCACCTTTTTGTGAATTGAAGCCAGTCAGGGTATAAATTTCTTATTTCTTGACCAATATTTTCGAATTGTTTCATTTGAAATCTTTTGAGTTTTCAACGAATAATCTAAATGACCGAGAGCCTCTTATTACTTTTCAACAAGTAATTCGAACTGTCTCAAAAATTTAAGATCAGGATGCTAAATTTGTTGTATATTGTGATTTAGAGTAGTGTTCCTTAGTACTAGATAATTGCTTAGCAGCTTTTGCTGGATACTATTATTGAATGTTCCTTGAATTATTTTCTTTGTATGGTCGATATAAATTGATATTTTATAAAGGTCATGCACCGATATACCTCAGCATATCAACTTAGAATGTCGATAAAGGCTATTCACTTCCACGAGACATATTAATTCCCAATCTCTATAATATAAGGACTTATATCGATTCAGTAGCTTTGTAACAAATCGATTTATATCGTAAATAGTTTCGATTTTTCTTCAGTGCCAGCTCTACAATGAATATTTGTGTTTACCTTCTTTCATCACTCAAAGAGTTGAATTGTGATGGCAAAAAATTTTACTCACACTAAATCGTCTGAATGTGTACAATTAACGAGGGAAGCTGGATTAGAATAGGTTGTTAGGGGAGTCTAGTATTCAAAGCGCTCAATAAATTTAAGTTTCTCTTTTGCAAAGGACTGGACTGTTTTTTAAGCAGAACAAATTGTTGTTAGTGCTATGCTAGATCTATTGCTTCAAGTAAAGGTTATTTTAGAGAAGTAGCGTGCATTTCCACAGCAGGGTGACAATACTGATTCTGAGGGCATTAACTATACACTTCAGACTAATAGAGATCACTCAATCTTACTAGATTTTATAGCAACTATTCAATACAAGACTAATATGGAAGCTTAGTTATAGTGGAATCTATGAAATAGTTTGAGGTCTCAAGGTCTTTTGGAAAAACTCAAGAAAATTCTAGAATGCCTCTTTTAGTTGCAGAAATTTTGGTGTGTTTTTCATAGCTGAATATTTCCTGTGGTAGATGGCTACGTAGAAATATGTCAGTATTATCTTCTTGAATGTACTACTTTGTCGAAACTAAGTTTGAAGCCCCTTTGACTCCTTTAATCATCCATTAGTACTATAAGTATCAAAGTTACTTGTTCTTATCATAAAAAAGTATAATATCCTAATCTGAAATTAAGCTCAAGAACCTAATCTAACCTAATTTTAGTTTTTTAGTCAACTAGAAAATCACACTACTTTTCAGTAATTTTTAATTTCCGAGTACAATCAAAGATGTCTACCAATCCTTGGTTGTGTATATGGAGAATAAAAGTTTCCTTCGAATGCAAACAAAAACTATTGTACATACATGGACTTTGACCAAAGAATGTTTATTAATAAATTTTTATAACAATAATCATTAAATAGAGCATGCATATGTATATGTTTAATATCTATGGTTAGCGATAGCATATTTTTTTAACTGCTCATATTCATTTATCTTTAGTATTATTGTCCAACTTCTTACTACCAACTGGCCTCACCGCTCCTCCTTCACCTGGCACCTTCACTTCATTAAGAGCAAAATAATCTCCTTGACTCCCATTTTCCACTTGCACTTGATTGTAGCAACGAAGTTTAGCTTGTAACAGCTGCTATCATGGTCATAGCAGCAAGTTGCCAAAACACTTTGCGTTATTGCCACAAACAACCACTGGCCATGACAATTGTCACTCAGCGCATTCGAGGAATTAAAATGATTATTTTTTCGCTGCTAACACTTAGCTGATAACAGTCTCATGCACATACTCATACATAACATGGACATGTACATATGTGTGTATGTTTCTTCGTATGCCTAAATGCGCAGTTAAGAAGTTGTTATGCAAGACGTTGGCCATTAAAACTTTCAAGTTTAGCTGCTCATTCTAGCGGACACTTGGGACGACGAGCAAATCGAGTGGATTGAAAATAGAAGTACTTCTCTCTTTCTTCAAGTACACGCCATTATAATAAAAAAGTTTTTCCAGGACTTACCCAACTACGGCTAGTTTTGTATATTTGTTGTGAGTATATTGTGTTATTTTTAACTTCGCAGAAAGTAGCCACAGTCGTGGCGAAATTAAAATTGTATTTTTTACAATTTTCCTCTCCCGGCTGTGTCAAGTTTGTCTTTATAGAAACCTTCATTATTCTTAAATGTTATCACTAAAAGCAAAAGCAAGAAAAAGCGTTTACTTCGGCTACAGCGAAGCTATAATACCCTTCACAAAATCTATAATACCCTTGACAAATAAAAAAGTTTACATACCAGAACTTGGTTTTCATCATTCAGTTTGTATGGCGGCTATATGTTATACTTATCCGTTCGGAACAATTTTTTCGAAGAGCATACCGTTATTTCGGGTAATAATGCATGTCAAATTTCATGGGAATATTAAAAGAAAAAAGTTTTCCACACAAGCTCTTGGTTCCCATCGTTTAGTTTGTATGGCAGCTTCTTCTTCTTAAATCTACTCAGCTCCTCATGCTGATCGTTTATGTATATATTTTATAGGGTTTCCGACTTTTCATTCTGGGTGTTATATATATCGTGGCAACTATATGTAGATATAACTAAATCTGACCGTAATCGGTAAACGGTTCATCCAACAGAAAACGTTTTGCTGAGTTTTCCTAGCCACTTTGTTTGATATAAGTAAACAACAACAAGATCTTTATTTTAATGTTGATCTGTCAATCCGTATGTCAACTACATACATATATACCATAGTAATCCGATCTGAAATATACACACCTATACGGAAATATCAGCATGGTCTTGGACAAATTTCTTGAGGATAACATATCTTGTCATATAGTACTGTTTCCTATACAAAAATTTTACTTCGATCAGTTAGTTTGTATGACATCTAAGTATATGCTTTAATGATGAGATCTGGACAACATGTTCTGAGGTACATAGTCTTGGACAATAATCTAGTCAAACTTCATGAATACATTTTCTGAATTAAAAAAGTGTTAAACATCTTTTCGAAGTTGAGTAGTTTGCTTTAGTTATTTCTAAAAAAATATTAAAATGATATTCTGAGTATTAATATACTCCACAGATCCATACTCTTACTTTTCTTTAAAAAAATTTAAAATATTTGATATTTGGTCAGTAGTTTCCGGTGAAGTTAAGCATCCTTTAAAAACTCCGAAATTCTCAGCTCAAACTCCTAAGCTGGGGAAGATTTACCCTATCACATTAAGATTTATTAACTGTTCTTCAAAACTGTCCTTAGGTAGGGCACCAAATTCCTAATGAGTACTTTGTACTTTGCTCCCGACGATCTATAACTTTCAACATAACATAACACACAATGAACTTTACTTCTAAGACTAAGGCAAGCATAATTGTTTCTTGAAATGCAAAAGAACCAACTTGGTTTTTAAAAAGAGAGTGAGATAGAACCTACATATTTATTGCTATCAAGTAATATAAATGTATTAAAAAAAGAAAAAATATTCTTCATTTACTCTGATAATATTCATGCCCTCATTCTAGTGCTGAGAATCTCTTAGAAAAAAAGTGTAATCCATTAACATATTTTTGTTGTTAATTGTTCAGTAGTTAAAGTTCTTGTTAGTTCTGTATACTTAAGTGCGAATATATGTGGATAATTTGTTACGCACTCTGAGAGACTCTAGCTTTTTGGAAGTAATGAAAATATATCTAACTCTAACAATACTCTAACTTCTCTGTGAGGAGTGTAGTTTTAAGTGCGCTACTACTATATTCTCTCTTCTCGATCTTTCTAGTTATAAAAATTAATTATGAAAACGAAGTTATAGTAGTTAAGTAAAAGTTTATTTCAAAAATTTATAATGTAGTAAACTGCAACTCTTATCCATTATTATTATATTTTGCTAAATTTTTGTAATTTGTTCGCAATTTCTTATCTTTACAGATTTGCTCATCGAAATGCTGGGCGTGTTGGCCAGCTACAGCATCACAGTGAAAGAGCTCAAACTGCTCTTCGGCACCATGAAAGCGGTGAATGCCAAATGGCCACGTCACTCCGCCAAATTGTTGAACGTGTTGCGTCAAATGCCACATCGCAATGGACCGGATGTGTTTTTCAGTTTTCCAGGTCGCAAAGGATCGGTGAGTTAATCCAAAGAAAATGAGCACAAAACCTCCTTAATCATATTTAAATCGTATAAATGTTATTTAAAAAAAAAACTAAGAATTTCCGCATAATATTTTAAATCCTTGGAAGTGCCGTGTAATCCTTAGTAATGCCAGAGGACAAAACGAAGGTCAATCACTGACTACTTCAAATAAAATGCCATTGTCAATTATTTTACCTCCAACTACATCATTGCCGCTGAGCACGTAGCAGCCGCAGCGGCATGCTGGTCCAACCCCGGCCCCTCGTACAGCAGCCTAATCTTTTATTTACTAGCGAATAATTCACAGACGTGTTTACGTTTCTATAATTCACTGCGTTTCACTTTGAAGAAGCTCAAGATTTCGCCGCTTTATGCTGCTGTTGCGCAATTTCCCGTTATGCCACGTAATGCCATGTTGCATTATTAATGTGAATGTGTGGCAGTGTGGCAGTGTGCTACCTTTAATGTACATTTCTAACGACTGCAGGTGGTTGTGCCCCCGTTAGAAGGCGCCTAAGCAACACTGCGCTTTACTCTCACTAAATTAGAATGTTGTAGCAATTTTTTCGCAGATTTATTTTTCTATTGCCAACAATAAAATAACGAAAAGAAAAATTGTGCTTTTGTTTTTGCCCCAAGTCCATTTACTGCGTCGCCGTTTTATTACATCATCATGTGGCGAAATGTTTACTTTTCCATTGCCATTTCATTTTTATTCGCCATTTTATGGGCGAAGATTCGCACAGAAATCGAATTCCAAATGCGCCGCGAGTGTTATGTGCCTGGATTTTTGTATTTTTCGTATTTTTATACTCTCGCAACCTGTTGCTACAGAGTATAACAGATTTGTTCACCTAACGGTTGTTTGTATCACCTGAAATTAATCGAGTTAGATTATTATTAGGGTTATATATATATATAAATGATCAGGATGAAGAGACGAGTTGAAATCCGGGTGACTGTCTGTCCGTCCGTCCGTCTGTCCGTCTTTCCGTCCGTGCAAGCTCTAACTTGAGTAAAAATTGAAATATCTTTATGAAACTGGGTAGACATGTTTCTTGATACCGTGAGACGGTTGGTATTGCAGATGGGCGTAATCGGACCACTGTCACGCCCACAAAACGCAACTCCGCCCACTCCCCATATAACGGTACTGTTAAAAACTACTAAAAGCGCGATAAATCAAGCACTAAACACGCCAGAGACATTAAAGTTTATCTCTGGGATGGTATGAGATGACCTTATAGGAACCGCGTTCAAAATTAGACAGTGGGCGTGGCACCGCCCTCTTTTAGGTGAAAACCCATATCTTGGGATCTGCTTAACCGATTTCAACTAAATTCGGTGCATAACGTTCTTTTCATATTTCTATATTATAATACGAAAATGGGCAAAATCGGAGTACAACCACGCCTATTTCTAATATAACACCATTTTCAATTCCATCTGATTCTTTCACTTTCCAGTATGCATATCAAGCAACAATGACTGTATCACTTTGCGTGAATAATGCGATTAAAGTATGCCACCTTGTGACCAAAAATTGTCTAAATCGAGTCAAAACTGTTTAAGCCCCTAAGTACTAAATATGTGGACCCCAGTGCCTATAGTTGACCTTCTACCGAAAATATCAGCCAATCCACAAAGAAATCTCAAACGAGTATACCATTTGACTTTGCGAGAGTATAAAATGTTCGGTTACATCCGAACTTAGCCCTTCCTTACTTGTTATATATGAATTAGACGACTGTTTGTTATGTAGATATATGTGTGCGTATGTGTTGATTGCTCGAGTCAATAAAGGGTAACCATAAAACGTGTGCAACGGGCCGTGTAGGCGTTGGAACTTTGTTTTTGTTAAATTGCATGCATAAAAATGGACGCGCCAAGCTAAACAAATGTTTGAAAAAATATTCACTAACGGTATTTTCTTTGTAATTTAATACATACTGAAATGGAATTGTAGGCAGAGTGTTTAGTTGTGCGCGGCTTATAGTAAAATTTTATGTCTACCATCAGTATTTGTGAAGGACTCAATTTGATTACTTTGTTTTATTTTTTTTCAATTTCAATAAATCTCGCAAGAGTTATATACAATTTATGTATATATTCAGGTTTATTATAGTCTAATGTTCTACTGAATCGCAAAAATTAATTACATGAAAATATTTCAAGCATTTTTGCGTCCCTTTGGCTAAGACTATTTTTTCACTAGAGCGTTAATGTGCAGACAACTAAATCGCCGTGTAACTAAATCTTTCGTAGCTCTCACACAGCGATCATTCAAGAAATCACTTGTCATACTTGTATATTCGTTATTAGACTTATTATTGGTAAGAACTTTAAAGTTTATACCTAAAGTATCCCTGGAACACCTAAAAATCAATCAAATAAATATATCAAAAGTAATGCAAATTTTTTCAAATTATTTCATTTGACATAATTATAAGAATTCTGAAAAAGTTTTTAATTTTTTAAGCCCATGTAAAGTTGCTGACCCACTATACTACTAAAATATGCAAAATTCTATGAAGTATTAAAGTTAAACTGAAGGTTCATATTATTTCAGGTTAAGCAATTATATTGTGTTAAATAAAGCTTACCACAGATGGCGCTGTGATGCAATTTTGAAATTGTTAAGCTTGTTTAGAAAACTACTTAAAAATATTTTTTTCATAGAATTTAAACATGCTGAACTCAAATACCTACACCACCTGCTATCTTATTCATAAAAAATTTATTTTTCTCATATGAAATTCCTTATTAAAGACAGTTAGGCGGGACTTGATCAAAGTCGAGCTACAGTGAAGGCCAAAACGAGCCGAAGAACACGAAAAATTAAAAACATATCATAACTTAAAAAAAGTAAACACCATGCAGAAAATAATTGAAAGGAATTATGTAAGTAGTTGTCTTGTACAGCAATGAAATTTGTTATAACTAAAAATTAGGGTCACTGCTCCTTAAAATTCAAAAATGTAGGAGCTTAAGTTTTCACAACGCTTGTGCTCCTGGCGACCAACATAGTTTCTTACAGTACCTGAGTTGATGTCTATTCCGCTTAAAAATATTCTAATACGGGTCCCTCAGAATATAAAGCAAACTTTCCTGTCATAGAAAAATCTCTTATTAAAACGAATATACATTCAGAGGCGGCTTCCATTTGAAATCTTTTAGTCTCCACATACTTCACAGAAAGCATAGCGTAAATACTTGCCGAGAAGGACTCAAGTTAATGACTTTCATGATACATTTAATGAATATGAAATGCTATAATACCCACTTGGCTTTCAGTCTACAAGGAGCAGTCGGTGGAGAAGAGATGGATACACCAGCTATTAAACCAGAATGATGACGAATTGGTTTCCAAAAATTGCGCGTGACATTAAACGAAGGCAAGAGACAGAGCGAGAGGGAAAAAAGTTGTTAAACAACTTCGACGCTGCTGTGGAAAAAATGCAAATAACTTTCGAACTTTCGTATGTAACATCAAACTGGCGAAACTTTATAAATTTGAGCACAAATTTTTTCACTTCTAATACTTTCATGTTGTTTTTTGTTTTTGTTTTTAATTTTATTTTGCGTTTTTTAATTTTCCAATTTCGCTTAGTGATTGCGACATCAAAAGGCGGCGGCAACCCTTATCAAATGCCTTTGTAGTCACAACTTTTTTACTCGACGACAACAACAACGCGTCTGGACAACGAATAGAATAACTGCGTTGCCAATTTCAAATTTCATTGCTTCATATTTCAATTTGGCTGGCGCATGCAGCGGTGTTACAACTTTCTTCTTCCCTTTTTGGTTTTTAGTACTGTTTGGACGCCTCTGCATTTCAGCAACTTTTAAGTGTGTGTGTGTTTGTGTGTGTAGCTCAGCATTTCAGTGTAGATTTATCAACAATATATTTCTGGTAGGTGTGTGTGTGTGTGCGATTTTTGCATAACTTTTCCATTGAAATATCCAAAATATTGGCAAAGTTTTGCTAGCAAAGCACCGGCGCTCCTGTAACTCCCCTGCGGCGAAAGGGAATGGATGACAAAATTGCGAATGCCCGGCAACAATGATGACAGCAGTGAGCGCAAAAGCGAAAAAATAAAATAAAACAATGCCGAAAAACAGAAATTGTTTTAGCAACAACAAAAGCAGTAGCCGCAAAAAGGGCTGGGCTTGCGGTTTTTTGCCGAAATGAGTTGGAAAGCTTGACGAAATTCCCTGGTAATGCATTTCACTAATAAATTGGTCAAAATTATTCCCAACTCTATTATGGACGACAGCAACAACAACAACAGCAAAATAGTAGCAGCAACGCCAACGTCAGCACGTTGCCTCAGTAACGACAATGAGCGCAACAATAGCCAACAACAACAGCAAATATTCGGAAACATAGTTGCCAACAACTCATGAAACCAAGCAGCCCACCACACAAACAACGACAATTCGATCATTTCATTCACCACTTTCTGTTCGCTGCGGCAGTTCGCTTTGTGCTGCTTTCTTTTTATTGTTCGCTCTCCAACATTTGTTTTGAATTTTTGCATTTTCAGCGCGCAAAATTCCTCTTGCGCCCGTTATGCGAACCTTCGGGGCATACTTAGTGTCACAAACGCGCCAAAAATAGTTTACGAAACGAGAATTGATTCTGAATTGCTGCGAGCTGTGTATGCATGTTGACAGTTGTTGGTTGTTGAAAAGTACGAAATGTGGAAATGTCTTGTCGTATTTTTGTAGTTGGTTTAGAAATAATGTTCTCAATTTTTGAGTTGTGCGATATTAAGATATTACTTAGGTGCTCAGGGGAGCCCAAAGCAATAGAAGTAATAAAAACACTCAAAGCTTTGAATATGTATCATTTGTTTAATGCAGCTTTTGTTATATGTGTGGATTATCTTAATATATAATGATAACTGCTTACAAGTAAAATATAACAAGTAAGGAAGAGAAAATTGTATTGGAACCGAAGTCTCGACAACTGTTTTTTGTTATAAAAATATTCAAAGTTGTAAATAATTGAAATAAACTTCGTCATTTTAATACACAATATCTGACACTTATATTCTATTTTTCTGTGAATCCATTTCATATTTATGTTTCAGTCCTTTAGGCCAGTTCTTAATCGACAATTTTTGTTTAATAATAACTTCATTATGGCCCGGTTTTTCTCCTTTACACTAAAACTTTACGTGTAAAATAGCAATAGTTCGATGACATCATCAGTAAAATTGGTAGAGAGATTAGAGTTCTAATCTAAAGGATCATTTTTCATTTATCTTGAAAATGGAGCTATGCCTACAGATTCTAACCGCATATACAGAAACTGCTATTAGCTTTAGATATGGTATATGAAAATCAGACATAGCAAATTACTTCTAAAGTTATTATTTAGTTATACTGACTCAACACTGAAGTCCCTAAGTGTAAAAATCTCTGCTTTTTGGATACATAAGTTCCAACATTTGTAATACAAAACTCAACCCGTTTGTTCACGCTTGTCAAAAACAATTTGAGTAAATGCGTTGAGAGTTGAGAGAAGACGTGAACTTTGAGCTTTGAGTAACTAAATAGTCATTTGAAAACGTACTCCACACCCATATCCTCAGTGACTTTTAAAGATTTTGAATGAATACTTCCAAAACTTTAGACGCGTTTTTCTCGAAACACTGTTTTCAGAGGCAGTAACAAAAATTTCTACGAAACGGCTGAATTATAAATTGGCCCGAAGCTTCCTTGGTACTGGGTGTTTTATCACAGTAATAAAATATCTATCGATTAATATCGTAATATTCAATAAATTCGTACAGTTTTCATCTCTTGTTAGTTAGCTCGCTATTGATCTGTATAAAAAAATTTCAATTTTTATTTGATCGAACTTCGTTAAAAAAGTAAAAATCATGCAAACACTTTGAATTTTCAACCGTTTTCAATTTGAAACAAAACAAGTATAATTGTTGCAAACATTATCGGCATAAATCATCCGAAGGGTCAGATGACACTACAGTCCCAGTGCAATTTCGGTCACATGCAACTAAGCACACAAGAATTGGCAATCTAAAGCCACACTGAGGTTTCAAAAGTAACTAAGTGACTACAGCAGTGCATCTGCAACAACAATCGCTAACAACTACCAATCCCGTTACTCGCACACAGATTGCGTCATAAATCATAAACTTCATTTCCTCTCGATTTTTCTGCAGCAAGTAAGAAGTAGATATTGATTTATGATCTGCAACCAACACATGGGCAAAGAAGAACAAAGAAGAGTCGCATATACCTATACACACACACACTTATATATATAAATAAACCTCTTCTAGTATGAAGAAATAGTATCTTTTATGCAGCACATGCTTTCTGCTTTTTACATTAGTTAGCAAGCATTGGCCTTTATAACTGGTCACCACTTTCAGCACTTGCACCGCTTGTTTAGTTCATTCACATTGCGAATATTGCAAGTTGTAATGCCATATGCCACACACTTTCGCATGAAAGGCTTGCAAATAAGCAAACTAACAATTTGGTTGTTGCATACCTACAGGCGTAAAGACAAAAACGCAGTCAAACGCCAGCAGTGAACTTTGAGCATTGTTATGCCTGGCATACTAGGTTGCACTGAGGCCTTCCGACTATTTTATTTGCCTCCGAAAGCAGCTGCCGTTGCTTACGTCGCCACAGTGGAAATGACTTTCTAGTTTTGAGCTGCTATTTGTCCGGAAAGGTGTGGTGAACTCGTTTGTGTTGGTGGTAATCGGTGTTTATTAAGTTATAAGTCGTACAAAATTTGTTTAATATTTCTTGGTGCTAGTGATTTGCGGTTTTAGTTAAAACATGCTCATATTTTCCTTCCATTACACAAAATCTTTAGAATATTAAATGAACACCACATTTATTATTAAGTTTATGATACTATATAGTCAGAAACGATGGGGTCCTAAGACCTCTTTATATACTCCCTGCACTTAGAGACGTTTAAAAAACTTTTTAGTTTCACAAAACTCGAATATAGTAACAATTTTGCTGTGTAACATGAACTGGCATTTACAAACACGAAGTTTACCACACAATTTTTTTCTCAATCTCGCACTAAACACTACTTTTTCATCTTTAAAGTGGTACGACTTTTTTTCGCAACAAAATTTGGCCACATAATTCAAAAATATTGCGGCACTTTTGTCTCTTTTGAGAGTGTAACAAACATCGTTTTGTTTACTTTTCTCTAGATAGTTTTCATAAACACCAAACCTTAAACTCAAGTTTTTAGCAAATTTGAACGTTTCATAATTTTTTCAATTGTCAGGATCATAGCCACATAGACGTAGCTTTAGCATCTTTGAAGATCATGTTAAACTTGAAATCTTAAGCAAATCTTAAACCAAAACGTTTCCTACAAATTATCTGTCTACTCAGAGCCGCCTTCAAATCTAGCAGAAACACAAATTAGTTAAGTGCAGTGGTACATTCAGCAAACATACTGCTACTTCTAAGTCCCAACTTTACCACCTGATAACAATAGTTTTGAGCAATACGAGTACTATTATAACTGATATTATAGTATTAGAGCCATATCTTTAATTTTAAGTTCAAAACTGATTTTTGATTGCCCAAATATCTGTTTCCGAAAATTGTAAAATTTTTAATCTGTATCAATATTTATCTTGTCACCTTGAAAATATGCTCCTTTTACAGCGATACACATATGCCACCTCTTTTTCCAATCATCGAATCATGCCTTGTAGGTCCGCGTCCTGGATCACCTTCAGTTCGCTCTGCGAATTTTCTTGTACGGCCTCAATCGAGCTGAAACTGGTTCCATGGAGTGGTAACTTGAGTTTTGGAAACAAAAAATAGCGCATGGGGCCAAATCCGGTGAATACGATGGTTGATCGATGATATTGAACAAGTTTTTGGTCTTAAAGTAGAAAGTTTCCGGAAATTGTTTTTTTTTTATCTTCGCGGTTTGGTTCATCATGAATTCATTCCGACGGAACAGACGGTCAATAAAGAGTATTATTTGAGCGTTTTTAGGCATTTGCGCAAAAACATCTGTCGTAAAAAAAATAAAGAATTCTGGGCCAATAATTTCCGGAAACTTTCTGGTCAATTCACTCAGATTCAAGTCATTCAAGTCATTCAAGTCAAAACTGACACTCATACTTAAAAAGCTGAATCGTAAAGTTTTCCTACAAAATTCTAAATATGGCAGTCTTTAAGTATTTTCTTAAGAAAGAAAGAGAGTATTTTGACAGGTGTTCAGCCAATATTTTCTCAAATATTTTTATATGATCTTATTTCCTCAATTATCGAATTAGAAGTCAAGGTATGATAATAGTAATATAAACTAATTTTTGTAATGACAAAAAAAATATAATAAAATAATTCCAACACACTTTGGTTTAACATAAATTCACAACCTTGCGAAAAAATCCTTACAAATGTCTTTGATACACTAATGACCCACTCAGAAGCAATTGACCACTTCCTAAACATACTCGTTCTCTTCTAGGCTTAAAAAATTGCAAATGAAGCTAATTAAAATAGTCATAAATTCCGTAGGCACTCTAAATCCCAAACATTCATTGATTTGTTTTTCTTCTCTTTTTCATTGTGCTTCTGACAGGCTATGGTGCTGCCGCCTCTGGCAAAATGGCCATACGAAAATGGCTTTACATTTACAACGTGGTTTCGTTTGGATCCTATTAATTCCGTGAATATCGAGCGCGAGAAGCCCTACCTCTATTGGTGAGTACAACAACATACATACGTACATACTCAATTTGTAATAAATGTTCAAACACGATAATAACTGTAAACGTTCTTGGGAAAATTTTTACTTAGTGCAGCGGCAACTCTTACAGCTATATACATTTTTCTCAATGTCATCTTTATTACTTTCATGTTCTTTTATGCATTCGCTTTAGCCACCGCTGTCATCTTCGTTTCATTTCATGCTTTTGTTCTCTGTTCCGTTATTTCATCTTAATGGTATACCATTTGATTTAATTAATTTGAAATATTGCTGCAATTTGCAATTCATTAATTCCTCCCCGGTCAGCTGGGCAGCGATACTCATTGTTACGGTACTCATACCCTTCATTTCATTTATGAGAGTGCCAAAGTCCTGCCGCTTCGGCTTCGACTGGTACTTTCAAGCATTCGCAACTAATTTGCCTCATTTTCTTCTTTGCTTTATTCATTTTGCTCAAATTTTTGCCTTGGCTTCATTGCTATCGCCTTCATTTGCTAGCAGCACACACACACACAAATATATATATATATATGTACATTTCTCTATCACTTTCGAATTTGTGAAAATATTTGTTTCAATTCTGCTCTCATTCTCATTCCAGTTTTAAAACATCGAAAGGCGTCGGCTATACAGCTCATTTTGTGGGCAATTGTCTGGTGCTTACATCGATGAAAGTCAAAGGGAAAGGTTTCCAGCATTGTGTGAAATATGAATTTCAACCGAGAAAGGTGAGTCGGTGCTAGTTAAAAGCACTGGGAGGGCAATTTTGAGAGTTTTAATTCTTTTTAACTTAAGTGGTTACAATATTTCGCCTTTTATGAATGGCTTAGCTGTAATGGTAGGTAGCAGCGATGAGTTTTGTCATAAAGTCACGCTCACTCGGTATTATTGATGCAATTACGGGTAGTGCTTTGATTCTCGAAATTTTCATGATGGGAAATTACAGCTTTTTAGTTCACCTACCAACATTTCTGAGATTGTAATAGCTGTTTTGTGAAAAAATCATTATGAATTAATCCTTTATATTCTCTGGTTTGACAACATTAAACAAACTCCACTAATTTTGTTAAATGGTTGGTTGAAACATTTTCATAAAGCAATAAATTATCAGAATTTCAGCTATATAACGAAAATTATTTACATAAATAGCAAAATTAATTAATTAAAAATAAATTCTAGGGTCAATAGGACGCCGCATTATCGTCACATGGTTAATTTTGGTTTTTTGGTAAAAACTGATAGAAAAAAGTATTAGTCATTTTTATTGTTATGCAAATATTTTTTTAACCCCCTTCCTTCCACTTAAGAAAAGTTTTAGAAATAATTGCATTGGCTATGAAAAAATCAAATATAAGATATATTTTCAAATATTTTTCATAATTCTATTGTGGACTTCAGCCAGTCAAATAACTGAACCCAAATGCAATTGTAATCAATTTTCTCTGATCCCCTGTTTTTATACGCAAAAGTTTCGGGCATTTTAGCTCAACCTCATTTCAGGGTATTTTGTTCTCTAAACTGAGACCCTTTACGATATATCGCTAACTTTCGATTAACCTGTTCAAAATATTATCACAAAAAATACTGAAAATGTTAAATCCTGTTAATTTCGAGGTTATGTCCTACAATTTATGATATAAAGTGAATATGCTTAATCCAAAGGATTCACAGAAAGGTCAACTGGTTGCTTTGTAAATAAAGTATGTTGAAAATATACTTTAGGGTATTAATCACCCTATTTATCAGATTAGGGCCACTTAACCCTTACCAGTCTAAAGTTGGTCGTGGAGTCCGAGACTCACCGCAACATTTTTCAGTCGCGGCTTTTCTAGATATTTCCAAATAACACTTTTCGATTAAAGAAGAAGAAGGGTAGGAAAATTTCGGAAGTCCATTGAAATAAAGTTGAAAATAAAGCAAAGTAGAGTTCTCCAAAGATTCCATTAAGGACTGTAGGTACTTCAAAGCTTAAGTAAATCAGAATTGAGTTAACCGAACTTTCCTTAATCAAAGTATTACTAATGATTAATTTTTACTGGGTTTAAAGCTATTTATTGAACCTTTATAATTTAAATTCGCCCTAACTTCATTGAGCTTAATTTATAATAATTTTATATAATACGTATTTACCACCCTGTTTAATTTTTTTTTTTTTATTGCAGTGGTACATGATTGCCATAGTGTACATATATAATCGTTGGACGAAAAGCGAAATAAAGTGCCTCGTTAATGGACAATTGGCGTCCAGTACCGAAATGGCGTGGTTCGTTTCCACAAACGATGTGAGTACCAGCAGGCGTTTTCATTAATAAAATTTTATTACTCTGAGCAAATGTGCCTCAATGCGCTTTACTTGCAGCCATTCGACAAGTGTTACATCGGCGCAACGCCCGAACTGGATGAGGAGCGTGTCTTTTGCGGACAAATGTCAGCGATTTATCTATTCAGCGAAGCGCTGACAACGCAACAGATTTGCGCGATGCATCGTCTGGGGCCCGGTTACAAGGTGAGTGAAATAAAAAATATAGAAAAAGAAAAATATATAAAAAAAATTTAACAAAACATAAAAAAATAAAAAAACATGGCAATATATATTTTAAATAAAAAAATATATATATAAATAAAAATATAAATATAAATATAAATATAAATTAAAAATAAAATATAAATATAAATATAAATATAAATATAATTTTAATAAATGAAACAAAATTTGTAAAATTAAAACAATAAAAACAAAAACATTTAAGAGTACATAAAAAATTAAATATATAATTTTTATGCAAAACAAAAATTTAATATAAGAACAAATAAATAATGTATTTTAGAATAAATTTATTAAGCATATGAATTATATTTTTTGATTCAAATAAAAATTTAAAAATAAGACTATAAATACAAAAAAAATTTTAAAAAAACAAAAAAAAGGTTTGGAAAAACTTGTTAGTTAAAAAACAAGATATACTTAAAAATAAAAAACATAAATAAAATAATATTATAACATTAAACCAAAACAAAAAAAAAAATTTTAAGTATAAAAATTAAGTATAAAAAATAAAATATATACATAAAAAAAACCAAACAACAACAATTACACTGGTCAACAGCATTTTTGCGCACGGATTATTCATAACTTATTTTTGTTGCTTTTATACCTCTTTGCTTTTGTGTATAAAGCATGGAGAAATTCAACTCAATAAAAATAAACAAAAATTTTACATATAAAGAAATTATTAAGAGATATCGATCATTTCTTTAGGGTTCATTCTTACATTAAACATTTTAAAATATACTCCGAATGTTTAAACGTGAACAGTTTTACATTCCCTGTCATGTTTTGTAGAAGTTTATCTAATTAATCGCCAAATATGCTTTCAGTACCCTGCCTTGGTAACGTCTTTCCTGGATGGAGAAACTTGTAGTCATGTCTGTGCTCAGCTCATCATAATTGTCAGGCCTATGTTTTCCAAGGAAACCATGCACTAATGCCTTAAACCTATTTCTGGCGTTTTTCTAAGTAACTTCACAAAAACATCACAATCTATAATTTTTTTTATTTGAGTTCCCACAAAGATACCAATTTTTTGCGCCTCTGAAAGCGTTGGATAAAAATTCTTCACATATCTGAAAGATGTTCACCTAATCACCTTCAAATTAATAAATTCGCCGCAAATATTTCAAAACGCGTCAGCGTCTAGTTACAACTTCGCGAAGACATTTTACACAGGTTTTTACAGGAAACAAAATTATGATACCCAATATTCCTCTGAAATTTACATATACTGTCATACAAAACGAGCGATGCAAGCGGCACTATCTCTCGTACTCTTTCTTCTCTTTTGACTGCAACAGCCGAAGGCCGACATATTAACCAAAAATATTTAGTAAAACCCATATGCAAAACAATTTTTTTTTTGGTGACCCGTCTTATTAATTCGAAATTAATTAAGAAATAAATTGAATAAGAATAAGAATTACATTTTTTTTTAAAAGTTAACTAAATAATAAATACAAAAAAATCATTTTAAAATTGCTATATACAAAAAAATAGAAAATAAAAAAGATTTTTTTTTTAATATGTATATAAACTAAAAAAGTTTTAATTAACAAAAAAATGTAAAAAATATTATTAATATATAAAATAAAAAATTTAAATTAATAAAAAAAGTAATCAAAAATTTTTCTTTATGCCTATAAAAACTGAAAAAGTAAAGAAAAAAGTCGTAAATAAAATAAAAAACTAAAAAAAAATATATTATATAAAGAAAATTATTTAAATAAAAAATTTGGATTAAAAAAATAAAAAATTAGAAATAATTTTTTTTCATTACACTGGCTTTTTACGTTTAATATTTACGCAGAAACCTTATTAAACTTTATTATCGTTAGTTGAATTGTAAAGTTATAGAAATTACAGCTACTACGATGCGAAATAAACTCACCATTGTCATTTTGTTCTTTTTCTTATTCTATTTACGCGCTTACTACAACTCGCTCAACATGCTTTTTCTGTGCACTTGAACACATGCCAACAAAAAAATGCTAATATTACCACTACAATGAAATGTGTGCTGTGTAAAATATTCGAAAAAAATTATAAAATTAATTTTTCAAACAAAAATTTTTTGATTTTGAAATTTTACTAATTTTAAACTACCGAAAAAAATTTACTAATTGCTGACCTAATTCTAATTAAATTTCAAAATTTCTCATCTACGCAATTTCTATTTTACAATTTGAAATTCCATCAACAACGCAACGCACACAGTCACAATTCCGCTTCGACAACGAGTGCTATTTGAACCTGCCGGACAATCATAAACGGGTGAGTCAGAACAACAACAGCAACAACACTGTATCGACGACGGTGCTGCTCGCTGAGCAAGAGGCGCAAGCCATCGACTGGGCCGATGAGAAGCTCGATTTGAGTGCGGCCTTTGCGAAAGTACGTGCTGTGCTCTCAGCAAGAAATGCCTCGGCAAATGCGATGCTCAATGCGCTTGGCGGTGTGGTGGTCGTCGATCAGGCGTCCGGTGGCGCTGCGGCGACGGGCAGTACAGGCGCCGCACAGCCGACAGCAGCGGCAAACGCCAACAGCGCTGGCGGAAATAATACAGCTGCGAATGCAAACAATAATCAATTTGGCGGCGCTGCGGGCGCTAGTGACAACAACAAAATCATCACAGATCCTTTGTGTCATTTGCCAACCGGAAATACATCATTTGGTATTTATTTGTTTCAATTTATTTGTTTATATTTTTATTTTTGCTTTAATTCCCATTCTTTGTTTGTGCCAAGTGATTTTTACTTAATTTTAAGATATTTTTTTCTTTATCATCTTGTTTTATCTTACTTTCCTTTTTTTGCTTTTCTTTATTGCATGTGATCATTTTCTTTTTTTAGAGCAATTGCGTCGCATTTCGTCGACTTCCGCTGCCGGTTTAGAGCTTTTGAGAGGATACACCAGTCAGACCGAAGAAATGACTCAGCTTAAAGCTGTAAGCATTTTATATTTTTACATTCTTCTTTTATTACATATTCATTTATTATGTTCTGTGTATATGTGATTTTTACTTTGCTAAAAAGGTCACCTTTTTATTTTTCGCAAACGCTTATTAGCAAACTTTCGATTTGTAAAGCACAGTCTGGTGTGTGTTAATGTGGCTTTGAAATAAAAATTTTTGAGTTTTCGCTTAAATGTTTCGTTTGTTGCCTGTAAAAAGGCTTTAAACAATAGTTGTAAAATTTAATAATTAATAATTGTTTTTTTCCTTCAGTTTGTAAATAAAAATATTAATTTTTTTAATTCGCATTTAATACACTGCTTTCGCTTAAAGTACAAAAGAATCCAAATAATAATAATAATAAGTGTATTGATTTGTACATTTCATATATTATATTTGTATTCATTAACATTCTGCTATGCTTTGCTTTGCAAAAAAAAAAAATAGTATTCTATTTCTGATCAGCTCAAACTTCACTGACTTGTATAAAGTGCAAGCTGCTGTGGTAGAAAGCTATTAACTAGCAAACCGACCTTTTAGGGACCTAAAATATGTACTTATTTTCAAATTACAAGTATATTTGAAATTATAATTTTTTTTTCAATGTTTTGAAGTTTCTCAGAATTTTGTATTAAGTTAAACATTTAACATTTTGTGATTATAACAAAATTTAATAATTAATTAGCAGTTAACTGAATTCAATTCGCTGGACGAGTTTGAACTCGTCTTCTTTCATCTTACAACACATATTTTAAATATGCCTATACGTGGTGATTAAAACTGTCCATCAATTTAACCAAGAATAGATCTGATACCACTGTTCAAAACTTATTACATCTATGGGATTATAATAAGCTGTCATTACAGTAATTGACCCGAATTTTGGCCGACCAAACACAGTTACTTTGATTATCAACAATTTTAATCGGAAAATCTTAAGGCATAAAATTTTCAAGTCGACGAAAAGTTAATTGCAAATTTTATCATTCGAGCGTTATAAAATAAGAATGCTGAGTATATAGAGTACTTTAAAAAATTCAATCAGCTGACGCCGGGTGTTTTTTAGATAAGTTCTTAAGCATTTTATATAATGTTATGGCCAAGAATTAAGCTTTATACATTGAAAGGGGTTTGCCATTATGTTTAAAAATTACTTCGGGCAAGTAACCGTCGCGGCTGGCTCGAATAAATACCAGCCGAAAGGCCCTAGTTTCGACCACTTTGTACAGCAGTCGGGCAACAATAACGCGGCGGATATTCTGGTTCAAGGCATTAATTGTCTTGCACGATCTTGGCGGCCTCGCCACAGGCTGACTACGCAAAATAATGCGCTCACCAAAAGATTACCTCAATAAATTGATTATTTCGTCGGCTGTATGGCATGTAGGATCGTCTTGTTGGAACCAAAGGTCGTATACATGAAAATCTTCTCTTATGGAGATATAACATTGCTCATTGACTGTAACCTTATGGTCAGTTTAATTTTTGAGAAAATATGGACCAATGATTCCCTCTGCCCATAGAGCACACAAAACAGTGAATTTATGAGGATGTAACGGCATCTGAGCAATGGTTTGTGGACTATCATCACTCCAAATTGTGACAATTTTCTTTATTACAGCAGCAAAAGTGCCTTTGGTGCGCACTGTACGGCGTTTCCGTGAATGCACATTACCCCCTAGCGATTTGAAACCGAGTCATGGTTTTTCGAATGCTTGACTCGGGTGATTATGTCGACCGGATATTCGACGCAACGCGCAATGCGTCGCGCGAATCAAAATGTTATTTTAGTAATAAGCTTACACCATTTGCGAACGTTATTCGAGATTAGGTCTGTTCGTAATGAAATTACAAATCAAGCTAAGTGTAAATCAAACAACAGCTGTCAACAAAACCGCAGAAAAAAGTATGGCCTCATTGCAAACCACATGTCTAAAAAAACCCGTTACATAAAAGAGATATTCAAACTGATTTCAGAACATATATAAATCTTTATATGAAAATGTATGTACGAGTATATCCTAGTCAATACGGTAAAAAAATTAAGAATTAGTGTTGTTTTGCTAATTTCAAGGCTTTTGAAGCATACTTTTACGCGCCAACCTATTTCAAAAAGGACAAAATAAAAATAAATCGGACATAATAAGTTAAGCTATAAAAAGTTAAGGATATCATTTTGGAAATCCTTCAAGTTGAGCTCTTGTACGAAACAATTTTTCATAACGTCCGCCAATCGTTCGGTTAAACAGCTCAAACGACGTAAGATATTAAGTAATATCGCTTTATTAATGGCAAGGTTTTATTTAGTATTGTACATTTTTGGTATTTTCAAGAGCATTTAAAACTTATTTAGTAAGAAAAGTAGAAAGGAGATAAAACAAAACCAAACAAAGAATTTTAACATAAGATTAGTATAGTATTCAAAAATATTTTGTCACTTAAAAAATCTAAAGTTCAAAATTACGCTTTACATTCAAACAAAATATTAATTAATATATTTTACGGCTCAAAAACGAAGAGGTAAAGTCAAAATCATTTTTAAAATAATTAAAATTAAAATTATAATTTTTGATTTAAACCTAAAAAGTGAGAACTATAGATCTAAACTAAGAGTTCTGAAATGCAAACCACTTTACTGAATTTCGTTTTCGCAGAAAATTTATTTACACCCACCACATTGTTGCTGCAGCTTCGAGGCGAACGAAAAACTTTACAAAAATCATGCATGCACCTCAAGAGGCGAAGCAATTAAAAGTTTAACACAACCGTATCCCTGAAGCAACATGAATGAACAGATAGAAAGAAGGCGAGCGGAATAGAAAATGTGTAAAAGCAAGCGTGTGCAAAACTCTGAGCAAACGCTTATTGCAACAAATAACTTTCAATGCGAAAAATCGACTTTTTCAATGCTTCGCAGCAGCTCAAGTGCAAATGGGTGCCCACAAACGCACACATGTGCCTGCAAGTGCAAATACAAGCACAAGGATGCGATCCACTCGCTTTTTTTTCAATTATCGAAATTATTAGAGCATGAAATTCGCGCGCTCGCAATTAATTGAGTTGCAAGGCGACGCAGCGCAGCGTGCTGCCGCTTTTCCACATCATCATGCCGCTCAATCGCAAATACATACACACACATATGTATATATATATATATAGCAAACATGTTGAGTAACTCACTTGAGTGTTGTAAAGTTATAGAAAGCGCTTGTATTTGTATTACACTGACACAAGCGCTGCGGCCTTAACTCTCGAGTGTGTTGCGCTGCCAGTTGAATGAGCCCCGCGAAGCTAGCTTAGCATGCAACAACAATAAAAAGTTTCGTCCTTCACTTGGCCTTTGAGACCTACACCTACCTAGGGCGTCTTGTAGGCGTTCCACTGTGTCTGCACAGCTGCATTCAGTTGCATTGCAGCGGAAATTGTTAGCATACTTCAGGGCTCATAGGCATACTCTGCGCTGTGAGTGCCAAACTTTAGTGATTGGAGAAGATTTTGCTAACTTTCAGGGTATAATTCATTTAATTCAGAGGTATTGTAGAGCATACTACATTTTTATTTTCGTTTGAGATGCGTTTTTTTTTTGTTGTTTTTATGCATTTTTATTGTAATTGCATTTTTTTGTAATTCTCTATATATTTTCTCTTCTGAATTCCAAGCATTTTTTAACTCAACAATCCACATTAAGCAGCTAAGCTGTGGCAATTATTAATGCGTATTTTGTATTTGTAATATACACATATACATACACACACACTCATGTATATGTGTTCACGCCACACTTTAGAGATTTGCGTATAAATATGAATACAATTAACATGCTCCTGCATCGATTATGCACTCGAAAGCAATTAAGCACTTGAGTGCTTTGCAGCTTTTCTATTTTCATCAAATTTCCCCACTCTTCCTGCCGCCTACAACCCGCTGTATCGTTGTTTTGCCTTATAATTTGCTGTTCTTTGTTCTGGCTGCAGCTATTCCAAATCTAATAATAGTAGCTGGGTCTTACGGGAAGCATTATACTTAGTCAAGCGTGAAATGATGAGGAGCGGCAAATAGCAGCAGCAGAATTTGAAGAAAGCGGCTTATCGATTACCCATGTACACATCGTATATGTACACTTGTGATCTTTATTGTATGCGGTGCAAGTGAGTGCTGCCTGCATTTTCGAGTGTTTCAAAACAAAATGGAAAGCACAGCAAGCAATAAGCTTTATTGGCAGCTTATGACATGCATAGAAGCAACTAGTTGAAGTATTATTTTACTATACACAAGTACGTATTTCTTATTCGTGTAAAATCGCTTACTGGTCAACTACAGCAGTAGATAACTAATAAGAAACGCTACAAACTTAGATAATATTAAACACATTTTTTCCGTAAATTTATATTAAGAAGTCATTCTCTTTTATTTAACGTTATATCAGAAAACCTATTTTATAATCACAAAAATTAAAATTTTTTCCTTTAGGCTTGAAAATTCGATTCCGCCTTTATCCCTCTGATCTCTACCCACAACCTAAGTTCGATCTCTGCCCCGACCAACACTAAAAAAGATACTAAATTCTATAACTGATCACTACTCGACAGATAGTAGCAAGCACACGAGCATATTTCTGCATCAAGAAAGTCTTATAAAATCCATCAGCCGTTTGCAATCATTTTGAAGCTTGTTAGACTCTCCTTTTTTCGTTTTGCGTCAAAGTGCTCACAATATATGTTAGTTAAAATGCATCCTAGTGTCTGTAGTGTTCTATCTGATTCTTTCACTTCGAGTATACAAACCAAAGACTAAAGAATATATCGGGATAAAACTTTGCATAAATAGTGCCTTTAGGGTATTAGTCTTATACTTGTAGTATGCCTAAAAATTGAAAATATGGGGCTTTAACTTTTCAAAAACCCAGACATGAAATATATGGACTGCAGTGTATTTGGCTGATTTTTTATCGAACATAGCGGTCAATCTGTGAGTTCTAGTATTAAACTTTGGGGAGAATATTTTTGTGAAGACATGCCCTTGTGCCATAAATGGCCTATATACCTGACATAAATATTTTCGAACTTTTGGTTGACTTTATATCGCATCCATCGGTCTTGATGAAATTTAGAAAGAATATGTTTCTAATATGAGTGTCGAGGGCACAACAGACCATAGGTCGCGGTGCATACCTATATCTTTATCTATCTAATACGAGTGCCTGTAATTGTAAATAATAAATGCAATAATTCCTACTTTTAATTAAAATATATACGAAAATCAAATAAATCATTTTACTTTCGTGAGTATAAAATATTCGGTTATACCCGAACCTGAACCCTTCCTTACTTTTATTTTTTTTATTTGACAGTTGAATTTTTTTTTAATCAGAAAAAAGATGATTTTTGGGAATTAAAAAAAATACTTTATTAATTGTTTTGAAATTTTAAAAGTAAATTTTTACATAGCTTAAGAATACACAGTAAAATATTTGAAATAATAAATTTTGTATTTTTCGAGACCTAAACAAACCTAAAAAAAAATGTTTACCAAAATTTTGGTCGTTGTCGTTCGTTTGTTCGATTTTTGATCTTTATGTAAAAAACACGCAGAAAACCTTTGATAGTGATCGGATGATTTGTCTACGAGTATTCACTCAAGTAAATTTGAAAAATGTAGTTTTGAGAAAAGCGTTTGAAAAGCTTTAACACAAAAACTATTTGAGATATCGATTTTAAATTTTAGTTTGTTTTTTTGAAGGTTTCCCATCTTATAAAAAGGCTAAGCAAAATCAGTTTTTTTTTTTAATTTTACACTAGGTGTGCCCCTTAATATGCTGTGTTGTGTTAAGTTTCTGTTATTTATATAATATTATGTGATTCTTTTTAGCAGAAAAAACTAAACCTCTTTAATTTGCATTTTTACTATTACAAGTATATTATTTTATGAAGCTCAGGAAAAAATTTAAAATTTATATATGAAAGTGCGGAATTTATTTTTCAGTTGACAAATAATTGCCTTCAATTGAACACTCGCTGTTCACAACTCGTTGTAACAAAAGCGTAAAAAATTTATAAATAAATGTTTATATATATGCCAGCGCCGGCTGACATTAATGACAAATTTACTGGCAATTTTTGTCATGCAAAATATAGTCATAAAAGCCATTCGCTCTCTGTAGGTGGCGTGAATGTGTAAAATTTTATTATTATTGTTATTGTACGGCCAGCGCATAAGCCAATCAAATTTTTTGTTGACTTTTTTGTAGCATATTTTATTATAACTGGGTACATACAGTTATATTTTTAACACTATAGTCATAGGTGAAAGTTATGACAGCACATTTAATAGTTTGACATTTAATTTTTTTATGTAGTATAAATTTGAATTATTTATCGTTACCTACGCGCTTGCAATGCTTTTTGCCACGCCAGCAGCTTTAATTTAATATGTGTATGCCGTTATTTCATTTAATTCTTTTATACCGCTCCTTTTTTTTTTGTTTTGTTTTTGTTTTTAATTATCAAACGATATCAGGTGTTTTTTCCTCAGCAAAGTAAATGTTAAGTGACAACACTCATAATCAATGCAAATGTACAGCAGTGTCAAAACAACAAAAACAAAAACAAATAATAATAACAATAAAGCAAGAAAAACAAAAAACAAATTTGAGCAGCAAATCGAGCTGAGCCGCACCAATTCGCAAGCGCACCGTCATTTTACCGCCTAAACGTCCAACGATTTATGTCCTTCAACTGCATAAACGCATACTTACTTACACACATATGTACATGTGTACGAACATATCTGTATATACAAACATGCAACATAAACATACATATTCCTATCACATTTTATTTACTATTTTTTTTCTATCAATTTATCTTCAATTCTTTTTGCAACGATGTGGCAACCCTCTTATGCGCTTATGTTAACAACGTAAATATACACACACACACATCTACATGCATATATTGGCGCTGCAGGTACTCTATGATGGCAAATTGTCAAATGCCATCGTCTTCATGTACAATCCAGTGGCAACCGATGGCCAGCTATGTCTACAATCTGCACCCAAAGGGAATGTTTCATACTTTGTACATACACCGCATGCACTTATGTTACAGGTGAGTCGAGCGAAATGCCAAAAGTAATGGTATTTATATATAACATATTTATTTATTATTTATATGGATATAGTATTTGGCTGCACCGAAACTATAATACCCTTCACAAAAAATAGGTATCCACACAAGAACTTAATTTTGATCGGTTTGTATGGCAGCTCAATGCTATAGTAGATCGATCTAGAAAATTACTTCAGATATCATACCGCTGCCCTAGAAAATAATCCATGCCAAATTTTTTTTTCCATGACAGCTACATGCTATAGTGGTTCGATATTGCCGGTTCCAACAAATGACCAGTTTTTTGAAAAAAAAAGGAAAAGGAAAAACTAAGGGACTAGTTTGCGTATATACAGAAGGACATAGCTAATTCGACGCAGAATTTAATGGACAAATTTACTATGTAAAACATAAAAGAGGAACAAGAAAAAACGTTAACTTCGGTTGCACCGAAGCTATAATACCCTTCACTAATACAAAGGTTCCTTACAATAACTTGATTCAGATCTAAAAGCGTGAATCGGCAATAAAAAATTAAATTTTTTTCCATGCAGGCACTTTACTCCGATCGTTCAGTTTATATGATAGCTGTATGACATAGCGATCCGATCTAAACAATTTTTTCGGAGATTATATTCTTGCCTTAGAAAATAACTCATGCCAAATTTCGTCATATCTATCATATCTATATATATTACAAACAAGTCCCTCAGTTTTTAAGCTATCGATCTGAAATTTTGCACCTGTCCTTTCTTGACTATCGGACCAATATAGCAAATAGCTGCCTTATAATCGGAATCAAGTACTTGTATGGGAAACTTTTTTATTTGACGAGGTATATTCACGAAATTAGGCACGAGTTATTGTTTAAGACAACAATGTAATCTCCGAAGAAATTGTTTATATCAGATCACTATATCATACAGCTGCAATACAAATTGAACGATCGGCATTAGGTTCTTGTAAGGACCTTTGTATTTTTTCTGTACACAAGCAAACCCTAAATTTTATACGCTAAAAAACTCACTTTGGCGAGTTCCTTTAGAAATATTTTTGAATGGTTTTCTTGCCGCTTAAACAGGAGCAACCAGCGATGCTTACTAATTCTCAATTAATCTAGTGTTTGCGACATTCATACGAAGCCTTTCAGACCTTTTGAATATCGTCGCTAATTGAGTTTAAACAAACTACAGTTAAATAATGTGCTAAATGAAAGCGGCTGGTAAAAAATACCGGGCTCTAGGAACTTCTCCAGCTTAAGAAAATGTTAGCTGAATAAAGAGCTGAACGCCGAATCAGATAGAAAGCAACACTAGCCTTCTTATGCATTTTTTCAGTACATTTTCAGCTTAAGAAAAGTTTTAACTACTAGCTGAATAAGCCGTTAAATGCCAAAGAGATTTGAAAGCTTGGTAAGCAGTTGCTTTCAATGCAAATTATTTCTGCGGTTGTTTTATGGCAATGTGTATAAAAAAAAACATGTGGAAAAAATAAATAAATAATAAAATATCAGTCGCTCTAACAATTTTCTCAAAGCTTCGATTTCAATTTTGATATTTCATACTTTATAAAAGCCAAGGGGGTTTCTGGCATAATTATGCTGCTATTCTTATATAGCCAAGTATGTACATATGTATATAAATACGTGTGTTTAAATACTTTTGATATTGGAAGAACTTGTCTACATGCACATATATATGTATAATATCCCCAGCAGTTTCTCAAAACGAAATTTGTATTCGATTACTAAATTTTAATGAGAAAGAAATCGAAATTTATATAAATATCAAAAGCTTACTTTCAACAGATCATTTATATATATTTATGCAAATATATACGTGTGTATATGACTAGGCATACCCAAAAAAACAGACACCCGCTCATACTCGTATATCCTTGATAAGCTACGCATATGTGCTACAGGTTGAAGTTGGATGAATGAGATTCATATTTCTGCATGTAAAAAGAAAATAAAACTGATTTCTGAAATAGCAATGCGCTTCTAAAAGCTATATCTTCTAGTTCATTTTCTTCCTTTATATAATATTTAATATATGTATCTACCATAAACGTTGCACATACCGAATTTTTTATTTTCCTTTCTTCTATAATTCCACTTCTGCAGGACGTTAAGGCCGTCGTTACACACTCAATACACTGTACATTAAATTCCATTGGTGGCATTCAAGTGCTGTTTCCGTTATTCTCGCAACTGGATATGGCGCATGAGGGCATAAGCGATATAAAACGCGATCCGACGCTATGGTGAGTAAGCTAAAAATATAAAATTAAATAATATAAGAAAAAATATAACACTAATTTCAAATAAACAGCAAAAGTCTGAACCTAAATTTTATCTGCCATGTCCCGAAGCATTTATTGATGCTTTAAATCATTTTGTAAAAATCTTTTTAAAATTCTAAAATTAATATCCTTAGAACCTGTCTAAGGGTTTATCTCAAGAATGATGAAATGAAGCGAGCTACGTTAAAGTACTCCCTACTGATCTAGTGTTGATCTCGCGATGTGAAATCTAAACAGAAATTCCTTGAAATATATTATATCTAAGTTGAATTCTTTAACCCTCTAAAATGTGCTCTTAGTTGAGTTAGGTTGACTATTTATTCCAGAAAAGGAGCAGAAATATTTAGACATTTGGAAGAAAAAGTTAAATTTATTTAAAAAATCATCCCAAATATATATCATATAGTTGATAAACTTTTGTTTTAAACATTTGTTCCCCGTTTAACAAATGCGTCAGAAAGTGATATATGTTTATGAAACTATTATAAAATAAGTACTAAGACCATCTCATTGTCCCAAAACATTTAATTTTGAGGTGTTTCGAAGCTTTCTTATGCATGAAGCTCTTTAAGTTAGACTAAGTTAAACCAAGTTTATTCACCCTAAACACCTCTTAAATAGATTATATACAAGTATATATGATATTGAAAGATTGTTGATCATATCTAAAAGTTTAAGTTGAGTTTCAGCTGAGGCTAGGCTTGTAATAAGAATGCTTGAGTTTGGACCCATTTCATCTCTGCGAACAAGGATTCGGAGTTGAAACTTTCTTTGAGTTGGACCCAGCAGTTTGGAAAAAAATAAAATTCAATCAGTGTCATTTTATAATACATTATTATTAATATCTCAGAGTGTACAAAGAATTCGATATTATTTTTTTTTTTTGTTGAAATTTGTCGTCCCGTAACACTGGAGTGAGCGTTTCAAAAAAAAAAAGAAGATGGTTGACGCCAGTGATTTGGTCGCTTGGCGACATCAGAAGAAGAAAAAGCAAAAAGATTATTATTATGTGAGCTTGTCATTCTGGTTGGACATATTGTTCAAGCAATTTCGTTGAAAAATTAAAAAAATTGTCATTCGAAAAAAGTGACATTTTTCTAAGTAGCAATCGGGCTATAAAATGGAAAGTTAACGATAAAAAAATATTGTAAATAGTTGTCGTGAGAGCTATTGATGAGTAGAATAACACATAAATTCAGCCCAATCGATTGGATGGGAAATGTTTTATCATCCGGGCCGACAATAAGAACGTTGTTTCGAGAAAAACGTTTTTATATTTTCAACAACAGATTAAATATATATCATGAAATTATATTTAATATTATATGTAGACAAATCATACTACATATCAATCGTCTATGAATGATGCGTATAATAAACCTTCAACTTCTTCATAGGCCTCATTGTTAGTCACTTTTTCGGAACTGCCACTCATTCTGCCAATTTTAGAAAGACAAGCTGCGTGCTTCTTCGCTTTCGAGATACTACGAGACGCTCAGCTAAAGATGCTATAAATTCGTTAATATTTCTATTGGTGATTCTATTGTATTCTTATTACAATATACTAATACTTTCGACAGAAAAGAGTCGACTTTCTTAAACCAAGTTACCAGACTACTATCTCAAACCTAAAAAAAAAATATATAATAATTTACTTGGAAATTTGATTGCGCTAGAAATTGTATGACCTCATAAATATATTTGTGCCTGACCAAAAAATATACGAAAAAGATCATATGACGGTATCAATGCAAAAGTTTTACCCTTTTTTGTCTTTAATTAAAATTGACCTTGTTATAAACCCAAATCAGAACTTTTCTAATACACCGACTATCAATGCTTCCACCTTCTCCTTGCAGTTCCAAACTTTTGGGTTTCATTTGTGAATTAGTCGAAACATCACAAACCGTACAACAACATATGATACAAAATCGTGGATTCCTAGTCATCTCGTTTATGTTGCAACGTTCGTCGCGCGAACATTTAACTTTGGAAGTTTTGGGCTCATTTCTGAATTTAACCAAATATTTGGTGACATGTCTGTCGGCGAATAGTGATTTATTGCTGAAGCAGGTGAGTTTTGCGATTTCTCCAATCATATGCAAATAAGACGACAATCTACCGTTATTTATGGCCATTTATTGACAGTACCAGTATGTATATACTTGTATGTATTTAATGATTATATATATGTATGTACATTTGTGCTGCAATTTGTGTGCACAAAAGTGTTAAAAGCTTAGACATGTTGAAATATCTGATTTTTTATTTTGAAAATATTGTAAATTTAACTTATTTAAATAACGTAAAAATTATATAATTGGCTGTAAAATTTTGCTGTAATTCTAAGTATGAAAAAATTATTATAATTTATAGCTTTAAGTAGGTCTCAAAATTGCGTACTTTTACAAATGCATGAAGTGTTTATTTTATGAATTCTTAAATTGTAAATCTTTGCTATACACTCGAGAGCAGAAAAATATTTCTTTCATAATTCTTCTTTCTTTCTTTTATTTAAATTCTTTTTTTATAAATGTCTACAGTTAAGCGTGGCCTTGCGATTTCCATATAAAAAAGTAAACATAATTTAGCTTATTTAATTAATTTAATTTAAATGCATTTCCAGATTACAATTTAGTGGCAACACTTACATACATAATAATTTTATATATAGATTTTGGTTTTTGCATAAATTATGCTTGATAAAATTTATTTAAGACATTTGAATTGCATTACCCTGTCATGAAATTTTCTAAATTCCAGCTAAAGCCTCCGCTAGTGCCACCAATAAGTGTCTATTATTTTTACAAGATATTTGTTTACTTATTTGCATGGCCTCTTTACCAGTTGTTTCTGTGAGAAGTGTGGTTTTCATACTTGTTGAAAAAATTTTCAAAATATTTTCAAAAATGTTTCAAATAAATAATGAAAATGTTTCAGAAATGTTACGAATATTATTCGAAAAATATTTGGAACATTTTTAAAAAGCATTCCAAAAATATTTCAAAAAGTTTTCAAAAATGTTCCAAAAAAAATTAAGGAAAAACTTTCAAAACAATTAGTAAAATATTTTTAAAATTAAAATTTTTAGAAATATCAAAAAAAATCACGAAAATGTTTCTAATATTTTTTACAAATATTTTGAAAACTTTTTCTTATATATGTATTTTACAATACTTCCTCTAAAACTGTATTACAACAACCATTTAAAATATTTTTTCTATATAGCAATGCTCGTACCGAAAACTAATCAAACTTTTTCCTTTTTCGAATGTCTCTTTCTTTATCCATTAAAATTTTTTTTTCTTCGAAACTCGCTTACGTCAAAATGCCTATCACTTTCACTATTCATCAACATCTTTTATTTGTATAAAAAATTGGTTAAACTTGAAAAAAAATAAAATTGCATTGAAACACATCTCTTTCGCTGCTCTTCAACACGCAAACTATGAAATGTATGACTTAAATTTAAAATCTATGCTTAAAAAATGTTAAAACTCACGTATGTGTATTAAACAAAAACAACAACTAATAAACGCCAAACACCGCAAACATAACAACTTCAGTTCTATCAGGTGAAGAAAGTCAACAATTTTCTACGAGTTCTTTATTCCAAAACTTATATGTGACAGCGAGCTTTCAAACTGCAGGGGTTTAAAAAAGAAATTAAGGAAATAGCATTTTCATTTTTGCACACCTCAAGTGAAAGAATTTTAGTTTTATTTTTCATTTAATTAATTTTAGAAATATAATTAATTTATAAAAAGTATAGTAGTTATATAGCATTATCAATAAAAGAATTAAGCAAAAATATTCTTTTTTTTATTACAAATTAAATTATTGTTGAAATATAGTTTGTTTTTAATAAATTTTAGTAAAATTATTATTTTTGGCTGGAAATATGGTGTAAAATGTGGAAAAGTTTAAAATTATGATAATTTAATATATATATTTTTTTTTTCTTCTTTTAACTAAATTTAGTTTTTATTTAAAATATTACTTTGAAAATATATAATTATTTTTTGACAATATAATAAAAATTTAATATTTGATAATTAAACATTTTTTTTTTGTTCCAAACTTCATGATTTCAAAAAATCAATTTTTTTACAACTGTTAATAGTATAAATTAAAGAACTTTTAAATAATTTCATATTTTTGTTACCAGCAAATAATTGTTATGTAATTAATAGTAATTTTTTAATATTTACTTTTTAATACTAATAATAAGTATTATAATTAAAAATTATAATTAGTTATTTTATCGTCAAATAAATATTTAAAATATACGATTTTTTTAATTTTAATGATTTGATAATAAAAATTTAAAGTATTTCAAACGAATTTAAACGTTTTGTTAAAAAATATCTATTACTATCTATATTAAATTTAAAAAAAATATAATTGAAAAAAGACTTTTAAAAATTTTCATTTAAAAATTTTCACCTAACAATTTTTTTCATTAAAATATAAGTAAGTATTATTTCCAAAAAAAAAAAATTTCTGTCAAATATTTGTTTACTTTTTTATCGAAAAATAGAAATTTAATTTAGTTGTATAACTTTTTATAAATATATATATATATATTTTTTTTTAATTTCATTTACTTATTGATTGAAATTTAACAGCATTTTTTTTAAAGAAAAATTAAATAACTTTAAGATTGAAATAAACGATTGTAGGTATATTGCCCAACACGTAAATTAGACCCCCTAAACAGTTTGAGAGCTCGCTCTAACAAAAAAAAAATTAAGTATATAAAGTTGTTCGTTCTTCCAAATTATGCGTTTTATAAGTAAAACTAGTGTTCAAGTCGTAATTAATCGTAGTTCGTGTAAAATTTGGTTTAAATAAGTATTTAGCAAGTAGTTTTGAAATTTTTGCAGTTTTCTTGTCGCAAATCTCGTTGGATTTTACGCAAATGTAGCGCTTTGAAGTTCAGCAGTAGCTCATTGGAAATTTTCATAATTATAAGCAAAGCATTTGTAATGAAAAAATTAACCAGTAATTTGTTAATATTATATATTTATATAACTTGTAAATTATTTATTATATAATATGTAAAATTTTTGCTCCGGAGAGCGCTTAATTTTTTCATATTTTTTAATACAAGGGAAGATCCCTTAATCATATTTTCGTTGCGTCAATATTTGCCAGCAAAAGTGCCTGGCGAGCAATGATGTGTTTACACTTTAAGCTACCCTCTCACACACTTACAATTGTATGTGCATATTTGTATGTGCGTGCATTCGCATATTTGCTCATCAGCACGTGAATCCGCCGAATCTCGCTCGCGACTCTGCGTTTGGCACGTGTGCGTTTCCTGCATTGTCCTTTGCTGCTGGGCAACGTTAATGCCGCCGCTAATGGCTGAGTACATAATGCGAGTACATAAATGCAAGTACGAGCTTACACGTGAAAGCTTTTTAAACCAAAAAATCTGTTACTCTCGTCGATGTGCATTGCTTTTAAAACTTATATTTATATATAAGTCGTTAAGAGTTGGACGGGATATTTGTGTTGCAAGGAAAAAGATTTTCAGTTTTTATTTGAGGTAACGGATTTTGAGTGAAATATGATTTTTATGGTTTTTCGGCAGTTTTCTCACAAAAATGTTACGTTATTGCCATACTGACACAGTTTGAGAGTTTTTACATAATTGAGTGAAATAATATCCGAATTTGCAATCTACGATGCACACAATTATACTAGTCATCAAGACAAATGTCTAGTTTAACCCTTTCTAATATACATACAAGTATATAGTATTTACTATCTCTAATGAAAAAAAGTAACTCGAGGACAATATAGAAATCGAAGAAATCTGCTTATAAAAACTCTCAGCTGTTTCATGTTCGTAAACGACATTCCTGCGATAAAAAAATTACCATAATGAAAGTCAAAAATTGCATTCTCCCTAGCAACATTAGAGCTAAGCAGACTTTATTCAGCTAAAATCGTAATCAAAAATCGGTTTTGGTTTTGTGAATCAGAGGATCTGCTCATGAGCTAGCCAAAAACCTAGCAAACTCACCTGTAAACAATCCGAGCAAAGCAGCTCAGCAAGTTTACCGCCAGCTTACATATCCACAGAAAAATCAGAAGTTATTATAGCTCTAGCTTTATCCAAAATATTTGTAATGAAGAAGTTATCGAAATTCTATAATTGAAGTTAGATATAGTCAAGATAATTCATACTCTTGTTAAATAAGAGACACCAGGCTAAGCGAAATAAATTAAGTACCTAACAGTGACCCCGCAGAGATTATGGAAGGCTCCTAGTGCACAATTCCAACAACTTTCCCATTCAGCTTTGAATCATCTCAAAAATAAGTTGGAATTTACGATGGCGTAGAGTACCCAGTGTGGGAAACCTAAACTTTCGAATAAAATAAAAATAATCCCTCAAAACAAACGGCTGCAGTTATGAACAATATAATTCAAGGTGCTCATTTTTAACTATCCATGGAATTCTGTAACACTTTAAATGTTCTTTATTCAGGGTTCTTGGTTATAACTAAAATTTACTTACAGAATGTAAAAAAATTTGAAATTTTTAAAAACGCTTAAAATCCTCAAAATTTTAAGTTATTTGCTTTACGTTGTTGCAATAATAAATATATGCTTTTCATCCTATTTTCGTCCCTTCATTAATCGAGAAATTATCTCCAATAAACCGTGCAACAAATTATGCAAACCAATAATTATTTTCACCGCACATTTATCCCTCATTTATGCGCGCGTAATCACGAATTCTTGCCACGGCCATCACTAATAAGCGCGACCAATGTCCGTTGTAATTATAGTGATAATTTTTCAATGCAACTGCTTATTTTTCGTTACCCCTCACTACCGCTGCCACAACCCTTCAATTTGGCACGGCGACTGTCGGTCGTTTAATGAGTTATCTGCTTACTTTGACGTTAATATTGACAATGTTGCAAGAGACGACACTGTCATGCCACATCACTGACAACCGGCGGCACATACAATGCCACCCAACTGTTGTTGTAGAAGTGATCGTGGTTGTTGCTTTTGTTGTTGTTTTATCAATTCACATTTCGGCATTAAGTTTACCGTTTTTCGGCGCTCTTCATTTTCTGCTTCTTCTTGTTCTTTAGTATTATCTCGGTTAGTAATTATTGAAACACAGCGTAATATGCGGTGTAACTCGCTCGCTTGCGCGCTCCGACGCCTTGCTGCATGAATGCAACACGCCAGCACGAACACTCTTGCGCTACCACACAGACCTGCCACGCTTCGTTGGCGCATTTTGCTCGCTGCCGAAGTTTCATAAATTTCATTTGTGTCAACACAACTCAGCTTTTGGCGGCGCTGAACGGGAAAGTGGCGCGTAAAGTGCTGAATTATCGTAACTGTGGTAGCAATCTGTTGTTGTTGCTATTCTTACTTCTGTTTTTTTTTTGTGGGTGTTCGCTTGCAGATTTGCCCATATTAATATTTTTTGCACTTGTTTTCTTTTTATTTTCATTTCAGTGTTTTATTATTACTTGCCTTTAGATGTTTTGGTGTATATGTATTTGTGTGTGTGTTTATATAAATATATTTCGCTTGTGCAACGCTTAACGCGATTTTAATTGCGAAACTTTTCGCGCTTCGTGCGCTCGTGCAATCCATTGACCGCTGCAGCTCATTCGAATTTTATCTGCTGCCGCCATTATCCGCACTTGCACAAGCGCAAATTTACATATAAACAGCTATATTTGCAATTTCATCTTTCTGCGCACACACACACAGTTGTACTTGAAAATAGCGTGCTCTGCATTCAGCTCATGCATTTTTCGGACTTATGCATTTTCTGCCCAAAATTTATGCTTCTTTTTCGAGAAGGAAACAAATAAACATAACTCGCACACACACACGCAAACACACCCAGAAATATTTAATGACTGTCGACAGCGATCGCTGCCAGTAGACACAATTAAGCATACAATGGTACTCGCAAAAAATACACTTTTCCACAATATTCTCATGACTGGCAGCAAAACCGTTCGTATATTAGCAGATTGTGAAGGACTTCTGCATGTCCTGCAGCCATGCGACTCACGACTGTGGTTG